GTCTCATAAACTGTTAAAATTGTTATTAACTTATATACTTAGTTACTAAAAACATCACCCCTGCCATTTCTTATAATGTTTAGGATGCAAAAAAGAAAGAAATTACAGATGAAGCAGTATAAAACAACCATCAAGTCTAAGCTGTAGCTCATAGAAATCAAAAATCTAGGAATGAGTATGGACATGGCTCATTAGAGAATACTAGGAAAATTAGGCAAAACATGATGTCTGAACTGCTGCCTACACTGGAATTCTTCAGAACGAAGAATCATATGGCAATTGAAATGTGGTTCTGATGTGATCACTGTGAGAATGTTGGAGGCAGAGAAACTGTGGAATGCAACCTAACCTCTCTCTTTGGGAACAAGGGTGCACAGGTGAGTCTTTATAAGATAAACAAATCATGGATTGAGTGACTTTTATGATTTGCTAAGGACAAGTTATTTCTGGCTGACATGTTAGTGAACATAACCAATTGAAATATCCCAGAAGATGGTCAGGCATGATTGTGGGAGCTGGAAATATGAGAAAGAAGATTTATTCACTGAGTAGGATAGAACTGTGTTCTCTATTAAGGTAGGAAGAAATCAAGTGGCCTCTGCACTGGTATTGAACTTTATGCTTGTGTTGGTGCACACTATGAGATATGATCAGAAAAGAAAGGTTGTAGAATTATATATATATATATATATATATATATATTTACAAATTATATTTGTTATTATACATGCAACTCTTATAAAATAAAACAAAGTGAATATTTACCAGTGAGGATATTGGATTTCAGTGGATTTGACCATACTGCATCTTTGTGTGAAGAATCCTATGACTGTGAAGACAAACACTCAATTTCTGGATTGGGCCAAGTGACTTCACAGATCTGAGCAAAAGAGCAATCTCACTCTGTGATTGATATTGGCCACTCTTTCTTTTCATTAACATTGCTTCTTACCTCACTCCACTGAATTCAGATGGATACACAAATGCTCAATTTTCAAGCACATGGCACACATACTTCTTGGTCATTGGTTTTCAATATGTCTTAGAAGCCACAGCACCTTTAGTATGAAGCATCTTGTCAATAATTGTAACTAAAACTTTCCATCATCACAGATGTTTTGGTAAAGGTCCACTATCATCATCTTCCTTGGAATGTGCCTGGCCTCTCAATAAGGACAACTCCAGGTAGGTAGAACTTTAAAAAGCTTCCAGAGATTTAGCCTTTTCACTTGCCTCATATTGGGCACTGTGTATCCTTATCAAGTCTATCTATCTATCTATCTATCTATCTATCTATCTATCTATCTATCTAGGTATATGTTATATATATATATATTATTAATTATATATCTATACATATGGGTATATATTATATATTATTATTTATAATAATTAATATAATTAAAATAAATATAATTATATACATTAATTATATATAATAATGTATCGTATATATATATAATTGATAAGGATACACAGTGCCATATATGTATATATGTTCCCAAGGAGCCCATTGTCTTGGTGCATGCCTTTAGTCTCAGCACTCAGGAGGCTGAGGCAGAAGGAACTCTGTGATTTCAAGGTTAGCGTGGTATACATAGGAAGTGCCAGGAATATACTGAGAGACCATGTCTCAAAAAATTTAAAAACAAACCAAATTAAAACAAAACAAAGACACAATTAAAAAAAACTTTTAAGGACATTACATTTTCACCTGTTCTTTTTTTTTAAGTGTGAATTATAAATCATGTCATATTTCCTATATTAATGATTATCAGATGGAGCAGTTAAAAAGTTAAAATATAAATAAAGAATACATTTGTGATCATGCTCTAACAGTCATTTAGTGAACTCACATATCAATAAACATCAGTATTCATAAATATTGGATGGTGTTTGTTGGGATCTTGGTCTCAAACTGTGATTCCATGAGTTTGTGTACAGACACCAGCTTCATTCATCCCCCACCCCAAAAAAAGAAACACTGAACCAAAACATCATTCTCTCTCTTTCTTGATTTCTTGCTTTTTTCTTATTTGTCCATAGCATACTTTTTCTACTAATGCAGCAAAAATGCATAATCCTATATCTTAGAGGACTTTTGCAAATAAAATACACCTTGGAATAAAATAGGTACATAAAAAAATTATACAGTAAGGTGCTCAACAGTTTTCTTTAACTACTTTAGCAAAATCAGACCTCTGTTGCTTTTTTGAAGGGGACAGCCTTATTGGCAACATTTAATAGATCCATACACATTTTTCTTGTGTGTGGTTGTCCATTTTGTTGTTTTTCTTAGTACATGTGAATTTTCGAATGTGTTATTGTCTTCCTAACCACTGGTATGCAAAATTTCCTTTTTTTAATGATCCAAAATTGTTTATAAATAGGAAAACACTTGAGAGTAAACCCTCAGAAGCCCAGATACTAGGAAATCAACCAGTGTGGGTTGCATTTTGTATCATTTAGTCATATTTACTACAGTAAGACCATTTTAGAGACACATTGTTGTTTTTACTACTTGTCATGGAATTCTGTATGAGAGGATCCAGATTTGAGAAGTGACAAGTGGCACTATGCTGGTTTGTAAAATTGCTGTGATCCAGATTCTCGGGGTTCATTTTTGTTGTCAGTGGTGGGGTTGTGATGCCATGTCGATCTTAGAATACTACTCTCATCTCTGTCTTTTGACTTTCAGTGTGTTGACTTAGCTGCTTTTGCTTGCACTCAGGGTTATGTTTTCTTTTGTCCAAAGATGACTTTTCACATGCTTTGGTTTTCTTGTAATCTTTCTTTTCTTCAGTCATCAATTTCCAAAAGTTTTTTAAAAATATTTTCAATTTCTGGGCAATTTCAGTACCATAAATATCCTAATCCCTGTGAGTCACATGAGCTGGAGTAGCAACAACTTCTTTCATTACTCTTGGTTCCATTCCCCCATCCTCTGCATAGTTACTGTTGCCTCCAGAAAAGTCTGGATGGCACTTATTCTTTTTCCCTCTTCCTGTAAGAGGCCCCCTTACCTTTTTCACAAAATATACATTATATCCTCATTTTCTTCTCTTGAATGCCTCATCTCAACCTAAATTACATGATTCTCCTGATTTCCTGAGAATTTTAATTAATAAATAAATCATTTAATAGAGTATTTTCTGTTTCTGCTGCAGCCATTTCTTAGGGTGTTCTACATGAAAGTGCACAGGGAAGTATACCCTGTATTTGGTAGTTCCTAAGGTCTCAGCTCATCTCCCCACTCTGTGTAAACTTCTTCAGATCCTATGCTTTATTGCCAGTTATACCCCAGCTCTTGATTGACAGCTGACTGTGAGAGGCAACATTGATCTCCGTGAGGCTGCATGGTTCATCCAGGTGCTGATTCACAACTGATACTGTCTCCTTCTGCAAGGAAATCTCACCCAATTTAGGAATGTTTTGCAGACAACTTCTCTCATGAGAATAGAGTGTGGTGTCTTAAGAGATTCCTCCAACTTCACTATACTGGTGGGCTGTGTAAACAAATTCCTTCTTTTCTGTCATTTCCACTCTAGACTTCTGAGTGGTGTCTGATTATCTCAGACACAGTTTCAAAAGAGACACTGAACATTTCTCCAGTAGCTATTACACATCAGATATTGTCCTTCTTTCAATTTCTCCTAGAACATTTTGCTTATTTCATTCTGTTGTGCATTCAGTGAGAGTTCATTACAACAGATTTTACGTTCTCTCTAACAGTCCTGACTTGAGTCTGCTCACATGTGTTTGTGTCTCTGAGGTGACTTATCATAAGTGCTAGCTCATCACTCAATATGATGTACTCTGTCACTTGAAATACTATTCTATACCATTTTGCGCTTTTAATATTTTTTTTCTTATCTCAGACTGTTGTGGTGTAAAGACCAATAGATCACAGAGCCCAACCAAAGTCCATATTCAGAGTTTATATTTAGGAGCCTTGGTGACTGCCTAGAGAGAAATACTTCTCCCAGAGCTGCCAGGCATGCCTTTTACATGGAGCTTCTAAAGGCAAATAATCTAGAAAATCATCATCCTGGCTAGAAATTGTCAGGGGAAAGCAAAGCAAGGAAGCAATTTACAGAATCCAAAATATGCAGTTAACTGTAACACTTCAGCCCCTACTGCCTAGAACAGGGTCAGGTACATTCCCAAGGTAATTTTCATGGAGTGGGTAGAAAAGGGACAGCGAATTTCAGGTTAAATCTAAGAATGCTCCAGCTGAGAAAAATAGAAGAACCTTTGCCGTATTACAAGACTATAGATTTTATTGGTATTATACATTTCTCATTAGTATCTTTGGACTTTAGGTAAAATACACATTAAGAATTGTTTTAGTAAAGAGAAGTGACCATGATCCAGTGAGTATATAGGCAACACAAACTGGACTTGGCATTTTTCCTTTTTAAAAAAATTTCTTTGGGGGAGGTCACAAGGAAGAGAGGGTAGACATGGGATAACAGGGAAGTGACTCTGATCAGGGTGCATTATGTAAAACCTCCAAGTAATCAATAATAATATTGTGTTGGAAAAACATATTGCTTTATTTAAGTTTTGTGGCTGTTCTTAAAGCTGATTTCTTTTACAACATGACTAGCAATTGTCAGTACATTCTGAAAGACTTATGTTCAGTTTGTTTACACTGCCTGTAACATTTTTTTAAATGGGCCAACATCCTATCATCCTGAGTGTTTCATTTCTAGGAGACTTGATGGGTATTTTTCCACCAACACTTGCATTCTGAAGTATTAAGAAATTTCAAAGTAAAAAACATGGAAAATAACTACTTTCAAAATTTGGGCGCTACGGTTTTTTATGTGACCTAGGCTGGCCTTGAACTCCTGAGTTTCAAGGACCCTCAGTTTCAGCCTCTCTGTAGCTTCAGGGATTAATGGCATCTTTCTTCACACCTGGCTACCATCATTTGCCATTATTCATTTGACCTAAGAAATAATGTGCCCATATTCACAAAGGTATTGTACTTGAATCACAGAATGGATATCTGGAATCTGGCAATCAGAATCATTTTCTTATCACAAACTACCAGTGGAATTCTGGGAAATCTCCTTCTTATGTTATACTACCTAGTCCTTTACTACAGAGAATGCACATTAAAGCCTACAGATTTGATTCTCATGCACTTAATAGCAGCCAATACCTTGGTCATTCTCTCTGCAGGAGTGCCCCAAACAATGGCAGTTTGGGGATTGAAGCAGTCCTTGAATGATTTTGGGTGTGACCTCCTACTGTACATTCAAGGATTTGCTCGAAGTGTGTCTATTGGCACCACCTGCCTCTTGAGTATCTTCCAGGCCATGACCCTCAGTCCTAGGACCTCCTGTTGGAATGACAATAAAGTCAAAGCTTCAAATTACATTAAATGCTCCATTTCCCTACTCTGGTTCTTCTACATGGTGATACGGTTCATTTTCCTTGTGCACAATTTTATCAAAATGAACAACAAAAATATTACAAAAGGTCGAGATTTTGGATATTGCTCTACTGTAGAGCGTGATGAAATCAGTGACTCACTCTATACAGCACTGGTGATTTGCCCTGAGTCTTTTTTTGCCGTGCTCATCACATGGTCCAGTGCCTCCATGATTGTCGTACTCTGCAGACACAAGAAGAGGGTTCAAAATATCCGCAGCTCTCATGGTTCCAGGAGAAACTACCCTGAGTCCAGAGCGACCCAGAACATCCTTGTCCTGTTGGCTACCTTCCTGGCTTTTTATATGCTCTCCACCATCTTGCGAGGCTGCATTGCTCTGTTGTATAATCACAGTTGGTGGCTGGTGTACATTTCTCGCCTCACTTCCCTTTGTTTTCCCTGTTTTGTACCATTTGTTATTTTGAGACATTACTCAGTTTTGTTCTTATTCAGTTTGATATGGTTAAGGAAATAAATTTCTCCTAATTTTATTATAACTATGTAAAATATTAGTTTGTCTTGTCATACAAATTTTATTCAATTATCACTTTATGAAATCAACAAAGAAAGTTAAGGTTTAGCACCTTGTCTTCCTAGTCAAATGTGTATGGGTGTTTTGTCAGATGGTTGAATTAGAAGTTGGTCATATTCTATTTATTGCACTGTAGTCTTCAACTTTCAGATAGTGGATTTTTCCTTTGCCCATATGATGTGCAATGAAGCCAATAACTTGTTGCCAATAGAACTGACTTTCTTGTGGCTTTTATACTCTCATGGAATCTTGCCTGCTTGCCTGCTGCAGGATAGACACCTGTGTATACTACACCCTACTTACAAGGCAAACTGACATCATGGTGGACCATAAATTGTACTTCTGGTGGCCGTTTTCCCATGACAGCTGTTCTAGCATGCTCTAGAACCAGAAATCTACTTCAATGATCATTCCCAATGTGTTTTGATTTAAGCTGTTCCAGAAAATGAAAATGTTTGGCTGTTCCCAACCTTGTAGTCCCAGTGTTCAACAAAGTCTGTGAAGATAGGCATCCCCTCTAGCCATGAAGGATAAATATTGTGACTCCAATCTTTCACCTTGTACCAAAATCAATTAAAAATTATGTTTATGCTCATGAGGTGATCTTCAATGTTGTAAGATAGTATTTTTCTTTTTCTCCTCTATTTCTCATAGCTTTTTTTCATATTAAATTATCTGAGTACGGTTTCCTCTCACTTTAATCCTCTTAGTTACACCCACATCCTCTCCCGTATACATCCATTCCCTTTTTGTTTCTTATTAGACAAAAACAGGCTTCTGAAAGGTAAGTAAAAAATAAAATGAAATAAAATATAATAAGCTCAAACAAAAAACCCATTATATTGAAACTGGACAAGCAAGTCAGCATAAAAAGGGGGGAGATCTCAAAAGAAGTCCCAAGATTCAAAGATTCACTCATTTGTTTCTGCATCCAGGAGTCCCCCAAATGTACTGAAATTATCATTTAAATACAGAGGGCTTGGAGCGGACCATGTAAACCTGTGATTGCTGCTTCAGTCTCTGTGAGTTCCCATGAGCTTTGCTCAGTTGAGAGAAGCTGGCCCTCCTGATGTCCTCCCCTACTTCTGCCCCCTCTTCTGTGGGGTTCCCTGAGGTATGAGGGGGAGAGATTTGATGGATAGAACTCATTTAGAACTGTGTGTTCAAAGGTCTATCTAATCTAGCTAATTACTTATCTATCTGTCTGTCTGTCCATATATCATCTCTCTCTATATCTCTGTGTGTGAGGGAGAGAGAGAGAGAGAGAGAGAGAGAGAGAGAGAGAGAGAGAGAGAGAGAGAGAGAGAGACTCTTTTGGATCCTATCTGTTACAGAAGAAAGCCTCTCTGATGTTGGCAGAATATGACAAAGATTTATGAGTAAAACAGAGTAACATTAGGAGTCATTTTCCATTCTTTTCTTTCCTATTTTTTTCTTTTATTAGCTAAGTAGTCTTTGGTTTTACCTTAGGACTCTGGAATATCTAGACTCTTTTTTTTGGTAACCAAACGCTGTCAGGTATGGATTTTATCTCATTGACTGAGACTTCAGTCAAATCAGACATTGGCTGGCTACTCTTATAAGGTTTGTGCCTTAGCATATTTTCAGGTAGTTAGTTCAAAGGTTTTCTGGTTGATTGGGTGTTTGCTTTTCTCCTTCTGTAGCCCACAGAATACTCCTACATGTCATTGACACTAGAACATGGGGGTAAAATTTCTATGTAGCCATCAGCTGGACGTCTCCATGTTCAGTGACTTGTATGGGTGCTGTCTTCAACAGTGGGTCTTTGTTGTCAGTTTGCTGAGAGCAACCCATTGATTTGGTAACTGCCTGGGCTATCTGGTGATTTCCATATGTACACTGGATGGTGTTGTGTGTCAACTTGATCCAAGCTGGAGTCATCAAAGGAGCCTTAGTTGAGGACATGCCTTCATGAGATCCAGCTGTAATGCATTTTCTCAATTACTGATTGATGTGGGAGAGGTCTGTCTATGGGGGTGTTGCCATCCATGGGCTGATGGTCCTAGGTTCTATAAGAAATCAGCTGAATATCCTGTGAGAAGCAAGCCAGAAAGAAGCTCTCTTCCTTGGCCTCTACCTCAGCTTCTGCCTCCAGGTTTCAGACCTGTTTGGTTCCATTATGACATCTTCAAATGATAGACTATGATCTGGAGTGTAAGCCAAATGATCTCTTTCATCCCCAACTTGTCCTATGGTTATGGAATTTTGTGGCAGGAATAGAAACACTAACTAAGACACCATGGGACACTTTGGCCAACAACACAATCAGATGAAACAGAGTCTTGGTACTGGAAGTGTTGGTGACATGAGTTGGCCAGTTGGGGTTCTTTCTCCCTCATTACTTGGAAACTTAACTAGTATCACATTCACATATAATAGAAAGTTTCCACTGCACTAGAACTAGGTTTCCATACTGCCCATTAAATGTCCTTCATTTCCAGCTGTCTCCCTGCTCATTCCCTCCCTCAAACTCATCTCCCCTCCCTTCCCACCTAATCTTCTTAATCTTGTCCCTCCTCTCCTCTGGTACCAGTACAACCATAAAGTCTATTATATTTCCTCATCCCAGGGAAATCCATGAGTCTCCCCTAGTTTCTTCCTCTATGCCTAATTTCTCTGGGTCTATAGGTTATGACTTTGTTATCATGTATTTAAAATCTCATATCCAGGAATAAGTGAATACAAACTATGTTTGTCTTTCTGGGTCTAGGTTACCTCACTAAGGCTTTTTTCTAGTTACAGCCATTTGTCTGCAAATTTCATTGTTTTAAGAGATGAGTATTACTCCTTTGTGCAAATGTATCACATTTTCTCCATCCATTAGTATGTTGAGGGACATTTAGCTTGTTTCCAATTTCTGAGTAGTATGATTAGAGCAGTAATGAACATGTTTCAGCAAATGTTCTAGTAGTAGGATGAAAAATTCTTTGGGTATATGCCAAAAAAAGAAGAGTGGTATAGCTGTGTCTTGAGGTAGACCAAGTCCGAATATTCCGAAGAACCACCACACTGATTTTAATAGTGGCTGTGCTTACTCCCAACAGCAATGGAGCAGTGTTTACCTTACTCAAGTCCTTACCAGCATGAGCAGTCACTTGTTTAATTATCTTAGACATTCTGACAGGTTCTGATATTATATCCTGTTGGAATCTCAACATTATTTTGATTTGTAGTTTTTGGATTGCTAAGGATTTTGAACACTTCTGTGCTCCTCAGCCATTTGAGTTTCATTTTGAAAATCACTGCTATTGTTTGTATGTTTGTTTAAATTGTTTATCTCCTCTTGACTTAACTTTGCTAAGTGGTATGAACCATGAAAATTATCCATTTCTTTTAGATTTTTCCAGTTTGGTAGAGTAGATGTTTTTAAATTATGTCCTTATGATGCTATGGATTTTCTTTAGGTTTGTTGCTATTTCCACTTCAAATTTCCAAGTTTGTCAATTTGGATATTCTCTCACAGACATTTAGTTCATTAGGTAAGGGTTTGTCAATATTAATATATTATTGTTTTTCTTAAGTAACCAACATTTTATTTCATTTACTTTTTTATTGTTATTGTAGTTGTTTTTTTTTTCTGTTCAGACCTGAATGTGAGTATCTATTGCTGTCTGCTTCTTTGGGGTGTGATTTCTGTATTTTTTTAGAGCTTTCAGGTTTGATGTTAAATTATTAGTATGAGATTGCTCCTTTTTTATGTTTGACCCAGTGCTAAGAACTTGCATCATAAGACCTTCATCATTGTGTCCCCGAAGTTTGGGTATGCTGTGTACTTATTTTCATTCAATTCATGAATATCTTTCATTTCTTTCTTAATTTTTGTCTTGAAGAATTTTTCATTCAGTAGGAGTATGTTCAGTTTCTAAGCATTTCTAATCTTTCTGGTGTTTCTGTTGTTGATATCCAATTTTAATCCATAGTGGTAAGATAGCCTCTACAGTATTATTTCAATTTTTGGTGTCTGTTGAGACTTGATTGTGGTCTGAGTTGATGGTCACATTCAGACAATGTTCCATGAGGTATGGAGCAGCACGTATATTCTTTGCCTCCATTTGACATGTTCTATCTCTGAGTTCCATTTGGTTTATAATGTCAGTTATCTCTAGACTCTCTCTCTTTAGCTGTTGTCTGGATGACCTCTGTCTTGAGGAGAGCTGGTTGCAGAAGTCTCCCACTCTTACTGTGTGAGGGTTCATATGTGATTTAGTTGTCCTGGTGTTTCTTTTAGAAACCTTATGTTTGGTGCATAGATATGAAGAATGAAATGTCATGTCAGTGGATTTTTCCTTTTTCTGTTATGTAGTGTCCTTCTATAACCATTCTGATTAGTTATAGTTTGAAGTCCATTTTATCAATATTAAAATGGCTGTTTCAGCTTGCTTTTTCTGCCCAATTTCTTAGCATATCTTTTTCTATCTTTTTTCACTATTGCAATATCTCTCCTTGAAGTTAACACAGGTTTCTTGGATTGAGCAGAAGAATGAATCCTGATTTTACATTCTTTTTTTAGCCAGTGCTTTTTAAAGGAGCATTTAGACTATTGATGTTATAATACCACTGTGCAGTGTTTATTGTATTGGTTGTGTATTGGTGTGTGTGTGTGTGTGTGTGTGTGTGTGTGTGTGTGTGTGTGTGTATGTGTGTGTTCCCCTTCTTTGGATTGGCTTTCTGGGATTATTTATTCCTTGATTTTCTTGGTTATGATTAACGTTCTTCTACTGGAATTCTCCTTCTACCACCTTTTGTATAGCTGGAGTTGTACTTATTGTTTATCATGGAATATCTTTTTTTCTCTGTCTATGGTCATTGCAAGTATTGCTGGGTCTAGTAGTCTGGCCTAGAAGCTGTGATCTCTTAGAGTTTGTAGCACATCTTAAGTTTGTAGCTCATCTTTTCATGGTCATCTGTCTTTTAGAGTTTCT